AATAACGGACTTATGGACTTGATCTGGACTGGGCTGGTTTGTTTTTTTTTAATTTTATTATTATTATTATTATTATTAAAAGACCACTTTATTGGGGACTCTTAGAACTCTTGTTACAATCCATATACATCAATTGCATCAGGTGAATTTGTACATATGTTGCCTTTATCCTTTTCTAGACATTTACTTTCTATTGAGCCCTTGGTATCAGCTCCTCTTTCCCCCCCTCCCTCCCCCATTTTCCTAATACACAATTGCTCTTTGATATAAAGCTCACTCTTGCACACACACGAGTGCCTTAGTCTGGCCGACCGACACTCTCTCAATAAGATGAATTGGTGGTGACCGCAAAATGGACATGACTGAACAGTGTTGTCATCGTATACTGGGCTGAGAAGAACCAGAACGGACCCAACAGCACCAGCAACACCGCGCGTCTTTTGAACGCTTGAATCCCACCCCCTGCATGTTGTTCGCATGGCTCTCCTTCATGGATTCACGTTTCTTTTACAGATTCTGAGCTCGCCATGATTTCAGAAGTTTATCTGTGAGAGTCCTTTGATACCTGGGCTGACAGGTGAACTCTAGACCACTGGTCCTCAACCTTCCCAAGGCCGCTACCCTTTCATACAGTTCCTCATGTGGTGGTGACCGCCCCTCCCAACCATAGAATTATTTTCATTGCTACTTCATAACTGTAATTGTGCTATTGCTACGAATCGGGCGACCTCTGTGAGAGAGTCATTTAATATCCTCCCCCATTGGGATCACGACCCACAGGTTGAGAACCGCTGCTCTAGACACAATTCATATTTGTTTCTGCCCACTGACGGAAGTGACTACTGGCCTGGGTCCTCCTTAAATTAAGTTTTCACTTGGAGTACTGTGGACCGCAGGAAGAGTGTAACTTGGGCCATAAGCCTTATGGCAGTTACATAACTTCGTGTCAAGTATAGGGGTGGTATTCAACCTGCAATCAGGCTGTGGGTGTGGTCTTCTCTTAAGGAGGAGCCTGGGAACCTCCCTTTCTTTGCCTTCACCTTCCTGCTGGCTGACCCTGATTGCTGCCATGCATCCACTGCCATTGGATCCACAGGACTCTGCACCCACTGGCCTGTGACCTTCCTGCATTCTGCATCCTAGCATGTGGCGACGTGTGCATGAAGAGGGGCTATGGACTAGTATTGGACTTAAGGACTTGAGTTGGATGGGCTGGGATGTTTTCTTGATATATATGTAATTACTTCTTGATATAAAGTTCTCTTACACATGAGTGTCTCTGGACATGGTTCTCTAGCCAACCCGGCCTAACACAAGCCTCTAGAAGGGAAAATCTGTTATACATTTTAGTGTGCGTGCTGGTGTGTGTGTGTATGTATATTTTCCTCCAGGTAGAGCTAAATTCAAGAAAAGGCAGTTTCCTCATTTTTGCTTAGTGAGTTTGCCTGTTACTTACCCTTACACTGAGGGGTGCACTTTGGGGTCTCTGCTCTGTGGGGCATCTCAGATTAAACTCCCTGCCCCAAGTAGGCCCCACTTTCTCTTCAACACTTATTGCAGTCCTCACATTGGCTCTTGTCACGACCTCCCAAGGCTCAGGTTGATCACATGACCCCAGCAAGGGGCTCAAGCCCAGCAATGTGAGGACGGCGCTGGACTGGCGACATCCCCTGCTGCTGGACACAGGTTTCTGAGCGCCAGAGGGCACCCAAGAGCACCTAACATCGGCCCGGCACCATAGATGCCTACCTACTCTGTGCATGTGCAGACACGTTCGCCCTAGAGACTCAACAGGAAGGGCTGCCAGGAGCTGATGGACACGTGGCTGCATCAGTGGGCTCAGGCATAGGAACACTTGAGAGGATGGCGCAGGGCCACGCAGTGTGCCACTGTTGCCCACAGGGTCGACTCGATGGCACCTAACAACAGAGAATCTGATAAAAAAACCCAAAGTAAAATAATTCAATAAGGCAACGGGGAGGGGGGGTGTTAACATGTACATCTGAAAATCAACAGCATCTGTACGTTCAAACAATAACCAGTGAGAGGATAGGAGATGGAAAACCTCAGTTACTAGCAGCAAGATTCAAATATGATAACACTATACAGGGAAAAAATGAACTCCTAAAAAGGCATTAAAATAGACTTAAACAAATGGAGAAGCATCTCTTTTTGGAATCACTGACTAAAAAGATGTTTGTACCTTCTAAGTTAACACAAGGCCAATAGAAATAGCAACACTTTTTAAAATGGAGTTAGACAAGTTGACACTAAACATTATGTGGAAAGAACAAAGCTTTAAGAACAGCCATAGAGACACTGAGGGGAAAAAGAGGGTACACCGGTCCTATGAGACATTAAGACATACTCTGAAGGCTTTATAACTAAAACAGCGTGGTACTGATTTATGGATGGAAAAAGAGACCAATGGAATAGAATAGAAAACCCAGAAGTAGAACCAGTACATAGGGATTATGGAGTTAATTCTGAACTAGAAAAAGAACATTAGTGGAAAAGCTCCTAAAATGTGAAGACTTTCGAATAAAGTCTGTAGTTTGATTAAACAGTATTTTTTCAAAGTAAATTTCTGATTTTGATCATTTGACCATCAAACTCAAAACTCACTGCCGAGTTTATTGACTCAGAGTGAACCTACAGGCCAGGGTAGAAATGACCCGGCGAGTTTCCAAACTGGGCCTCTTTATGGGAGTGCAAAGTCTTATTTTACTCCCAAACAGCTAGCGGTTTCAAACTCCTGACCTTGCAGTTTGCAGCCCGACGCATAACCAACGTGAAAAACCGAGGGGCAGGGAGTTTCCATCAGTGAGGGAGGAGCAACTCAGAAATGGACGGGTGAGAACGGCTGTGCATGGGGAGGGATGCAATTGATGTCCGCTGTGGTACATGTACAAACTGCTAAACTGGGATACATTTGGCTGTGTAGATTCTCAGCAACAAGAATCACATATAAAGAGAAAACTACACATATAAAGGAAAACTGGCCAGGATTTCAATCCAAAGCTTTGAGTCTGTGTGCTGAAATGCGAAACCTGTGAGTCAGACAATAAAAAGCCACCTGGTCATTTAGCGACTTGTCCTGCAGAACTGTCCGTTGAAATGGAGAGCAATCGGTGTGAGTCAGTGGGACCACTCATGCCTGGTTTTGGGTGCTCTCAAGCACTGAGATGAAGCCCTAGGGAAAGAGAACTCAACGGGTTATCTATTCCACACTGGCTAGGTGCTCAGCGGGTTTCTCCCCAATTCTCTTTCGTTGTTGGGAGCTACACTTTAAAAGGATCCACCATCATGCTGGAAAATACAAGGCGTTTTCCCCTGAAATGCAGACGTAATGAGTGAGTATCATAAAGCCACAGATGGCAATATCTTAGGCAAATGAAGTTTACGGTTGATTGTGAAAAATGACTGTCATAGACTAGAAATTCATTATTATATTTCAACCCACTCTACAAAGGTAATTTCCATCTGAAAATACTGTCTTTTTAAAAGATTTTATTGAGGGCTCTTACAGCTCTTGTACATCAATTGTATCAATCATATTTGTGCATGTGTTGCCATCCTCCAAAAAGACTGTGTTCCAGGCATTTCCCACCATCTCGTGAATGCTTTTGCCTACAGCATCCCCTGGGGAGCTAAAGGAAGAAAAGTCCCAGAGATAATAACACCTGGAATTCCTGTAGGGGCTGAACCTCTCCTTGCATAACACCTCATCACTAAGGGCGTGACTAGATATGGAAACTTCTCAATGGACTCACTCAAAGCTTGGGATTCCCAAGCTTTAGGGCCTATAGCATCCCAGGGGCGCAGTGGGGTACAACTTGAGTTGCGGGACCTGCCTTCTGAACAAATTCAGGATCTTCATCCCCAGAATCTGGACATGCACCACATGCTGATGAGGTCAGCTTGCAGGGGCTACAAAAAGTCCTTTCGGTGGCCAGGCTCGCTCTGCTGGGTTGGTTCAAGCCTGCATCGCCGACGCTCAACAAAACCACGAGGGGTCTCCTTTCCTGCTCAATGTCAGTGTCCAGACAAAGGTGAATGCATCTCTGGGCCTGACAGGGAGCCCACCCCTCTCGAGGGTCGCCTCTGTCCATTTCCTGGGTGGGGGAGGACCCTGTCCGGACTGCAGCCATCACCAACTCCACTTCGTGTCAGGGCCCAAGTGGGAGGCGAGAGTGACAAGGAAAGGGGCAGCCCGGGCACTGAAAAAGCCAAAAGGCAACAGTAGGCGCCCGCCACCCCCCATGCACTGTGGTGCTGAGTGATGCCGCCAATGGCCGGGGAAGCCACCTGTTTCCAGCGGAGCCGAGAAGAGTCACAGGGTGCGTGGCACTGAGCTTTGGCTGGTCTCCTCCGTAGCTGCCCGTGGCGCAGGACCACAGCAATGAAGCAGGAGTTAAGCAGAGTCTGGAGCGAATCCTAAGCCTAAGCCACAGCCTGAGGTCAGCCTCCCTGCTCCTCACCACCGCATGCCGGGCTGAGGTGACAGGGGAGACCCCGCCTTCTTCGCTGGTGGCTTCAGGACACTCAGCCAGGGGACAGGCTGCAGGGTGCTTGCGGACCACCCTTTTGGGGACCTTGGTATTGAGCAGGGCTCGACAGCGGATGTCACCGCACCAGATTGGAGGCCTTATTTCAAGGTGGATCTGCGGCAGTTGAAAGGGCATTTGCAGCCTAACTATCACCTGACGTTGTCAACCACACCTGTCAGCTAAAGAGGCCATGGCTAGATGTGGCCTATTTATCAGCCACATTTCAGTAGAAAGCGATGATTTCCCTCCTCCCCACCCCTTCCACAGCCCCTATCCCTGCTGGGACCCCGAGCACACCCACCACCCTGCCTGGCAATGTTGCATGATGTCAACAGTCACTTATTCCCTCTGCTGAACAGCCCTTATCCCAAAAAACACCCGATAGTTTGGAAACTAATGGAAGCCACCCCTTTGAAAACTGCGTTTGACAAAGAATCTCAAACACTGGGGTTCGTAAGCAAACTAGCTTTTTTATGAATGATCCTCACACGAGTAGACATTGTCTTGGCTTTTGCCCGTTATGGAAAACGTACAGGAATTAGGGTTCAGAGAGGCAGTGTGCACATCCGACTGGGAGAAACAAGAACGGAGGCACAGTTCAGGTAACAGGAACCGCAGTGAATACCCGGGAGCAGCTCCAACACCGTGAGCTCCAGGCTCATCCCGCAGTCATCAGCCAGCCATCCCATCAGTCCCCTCAGCACGGGTTCCAAAGCCTGATGGTGAGCGCCCAGCCTTTCCTGGAAGGTGGGCGCTGTCTCACTTTAGGGCATGATACATCGTGCCACAGGAAAAGGGAAATTCCGATCTTTAGATTCAAAATACACTTGATTCTAGGGTTGTCCCACTGGAACTGCGTCATACAGAAAACACGGAGACGAAGAGAGTGGTTGGTTAGTAATTCCTTACGCATGCGCAGACAGCACCTTAAAATGAGGGGCACAATGTACAAGCCTGCACGTGGAGAACACTTGCTACTGAACAGTTCTCAGAGGCGTCCCTTCTCCGATGACCACAGGTACAGACGCTGCCCTCGCGGGAACACTACACGTATGCAGAAAAGCGTGCCGAGAAAGACGAAACATATTGCGGGCACCCTGGATCACGAGCTGGGGTCTCGGCCAGGCTCTGGCCTAGCAGAGAGGGGCAAACGGGTGCAGAAGCACGGGCAGAGGAAGGTGGAGGCGGTAGTTCTGGCTTGATCGCTTGGCTCTGCTTGTCCTCGCCTGATAACACGGCAGCAGTCGGCTCCCCCTACATCACAGAGATGCTACAAGGTACAGAAAACAGGATATAGAAACTATTTTTCATTACAGCTACAGAGGAGGGCTGCTAGGCAGCTTGTTTCCGGGAGTGGGTGCTGGGAACCTTTTGCTACCTAAACTGGGGGTTAGGGGGATGTCTCAAAAAGGGTCCCGGTCAGGCTCTGGATGAGCCATGGAGTTTGACACAAAACGACCATGCCCACAGAATGCAGCCCAGTACACTGAACTGTGTCCCGTCAATGTGGGGACGAAGTGAGGATGCAGGCAGGACAGCAGACCCAGCCTGGTCCCTAGCAAAGGTCGGCCGGCCACTCTATCTGCAACATTCTCTCCTCTATACAAGTATGTGTACGGCCTGCAAAATACAACGCTATGTATTTTGGACATTGTGTGACCATCTTATTAAAACCTTATGGGAGCCTGCTTCTGGCTGTCCAGGTCTCCACTGCTGCTGCTGCTGGTGCAGCCGGGGGGCACTGTGGACCAAGAAGGAAGCGGCAGGAGTGGAGCCAGGGGGCAGCGAGCGGGAAGAGCAGCCCGGGCCTGGTCCCTGCTGCTGTGAACAAAGTCGGAGAGCCGACATCCAGGGCCACATCCTCTGCCTCCTGGGGTTGCGGTCTTTAAAATTATTAGGGGAAAATAATGAACAAGGGAGCAACGGGGACCACTACTGCACCTATGCACTCAGACAGACATGGTCCAAGCAGGCATTACGCAACTCACAACTCAACTTCTAGGGATGCTGCCCATGAGGAAGGGGAGCCTTGAAGGCCTCTGGGCCAGGGTGACTCCCAGGCACTGGGAGGCGTGGCTTCAGCACCGCACCCACCCCACACTCACTGTCTTCTCCATTCGTCTACTACACTGCGGGCTATGGACAACTGACTTCTCGGTTTTACATAAAGTGCTGCGTAAATTCCGTTGCAAGCCTCTCTTTGCAACTAGATTCCCACCCACCCCTGGGAGCGGGACACTCCAGACAAGGATAAAGGGGCGGGGCAGAGTGGCCTGCCACTGTGTTGTGTGAGCGAAAGGGGACACATGGACTTTGAGGAGCAGGAGCCAGGTCCCACTCTGCACCCACTGACGCACGGAAAATACACAGGGCCTGAGTGAGAGCTCCAGGGAGCTTTAACGGAGCCGCGTGTCAGAGCCACCATGGCCAGTGCAGGCCCTGAGTGGCAGACACTCTTGATAATACTTTCTAGAAAGGTGGCTTTTCTGCGGCAGCTCCAGGCAGCCACTTATTCCTCATTTTGACAAAGTAGCATCCAACTTCAGGCATGACTATATATATAACTCCCTGCGCAGCTGAGCCGTTAAAACACGCCTAATAGACAGGCGTGTAAAAAGAGACAGGTTTTCTACCTAAATACGGCCCCAAGAAGCCATTATGATAATTGAGTGTGATGCTTTGCTCAGGTCCCTGACCTATATCACCAATAAAAGTCCCGCTTAGCACAGGGAGGTTTGCACAGCGACATGAAGTGGTACACAGCCCACTGACAACTGCCAGTCAGCTCTGCCTTAATGCCGGGACTCCGCGAAGCAAACCCTCTGGTGGTCTGTCTTCCAGGAGGTGACGGGCTGCCTGCTGTTGGCGATGCCATCACCGCAGCTGCAGCAGCAGCAGCAGCAGCAGCAGGAAGGCTCTCTCTGGAGGGCCAGCAGTGAGTGGAGACCAGGCCTGGAGGCAGGCTTCCCCTTCCCCGGAGGCCTGGACTTGGGGCGACATCTGTCCAGAAAGGGCTACGAACACGCATCTCCCTCCGTCATCGCTAGAGGCGCTACACAAGGGGGTGCAAAAGCAGTCACGAGATATTTGAACACACACACACACACACACACACACACACACACACACACACACCCTGCAAAGGAAGCATCAGCTCTAGAAATGAGCGGCAGGCGATGCTGAGGCCATGAGCCTAAGGTACGAGATGCAGCATAGCCAGACCTTCGTTTTCTAAAATAGCTGCCCCTACACTTTGCTCCCACCCCTTCCCCTTTAAAAAACCCCAAACAAAACGGAGTCCCACAACATCATCTGCCAAGAGAAAGCATCCGCTGCTCTGACGAAGCAAGCATCCCCGCAGGGGCAGCACGAGAGGACTGGGCGGCCCAGTGGAGTCGCGCAGGTCTCTTCCACACCAAGTCTCCCCCTTGCTGCCGCGGTGGGTGGTCAGTCGGTCAGCTCCTGGGCAGCCAGGCCGTGCTCTAGGAGTATCCGGGGCCCTTCTCCTGCGGCATTTTAAAACACGTCGCTGCAGCTGAGTCAGACGCCTTCTCGGCTTCGGGGGTCCTGAGCAGCCACTCGGCAGGTGCAGCCCGCTGGATGTGCGATGCTGGCGCGGGGAGCTCCGCTGTATCCGAGGGAACTGGAAAGGTGCCAGCGGCGGAGGGAGGTGGAAAGCATGGGGAGACAGTGAAAACGCAACAAGTCAGGGCAGGAGACACCGCAGTGCAACAATCTCGTCATTGTTCAGTTTTGTCCTGTGAACCCAAGGAAGGAGCCTAGCGGCACCGTGGTTTACATGCTGGGCTGCATCCGCAGTCGACAGTTCTAAACCACCCACTGCTCCTTGGGAGAGAGATGAGGCTTTCTACTCCCATAACGAGGTACAGTCTCTGAAAGCCAAAGGGGCAGTCCTGCCCATCCTGTAGGGTTGCTATGGGTTGGCATTAAGTGATGGCAAGGAGAAGGAGAAGGAAGGTTTTACCCAAGGAGCCTTGGTGGCCTAGTGGTCATGCACTGGGCTGTTAAGTGCAAAGTCAGTAGTTCAAAACCACCTGCCGCTCCTCAGAAGAAAGATGAGGGTTTCTATTTCCGTAAAAAGTTACAGTTGTGGAAACTCACAAGGGCAGCTCTACCGTGCCATACAGGATTAATGAGTCTGCATCGGCTTGATGGCACTTGCGTTTGGTTTTGGATTAAGCCCAAATGGCCACATACAGTGTCTTGCTTTGCTTTTCCAGAAAAGGGGTGGGGGGTGGGGGAGTAAGATTTAAGTAAGTAAGATAAATATTTCTCCACCGGAGAAAAATGGGCTTAATCGAACCTATGAATAAATTCAGTAGCACACACTCATAATGTAGTGATAATCACTGTTGGCCACTTCTGTGCCCGGCACTACACTGCTGAAACATTAGGCGGTCCCAACCTTATGTGTGAATGCAAGCCCTGGGAGCGGCGGGGGAGGCACTGACATCTCACGCTCAAAACAGAAGGCCTAGAGACACCAACAGGGCAGTGTTACCAATGAGGAAAATGGAAGACTGTTATACAACAGGCCCTCTTCCCAACAAGGACATTGAAGGAATTCAGGATGGTTAGCCACTGCTCGTATAAGGCTGCTCGATGTCGTTTACATTTAACATCTGGTCCCTACCATTCCACTGAAACTGACAGCCACACCTGTTCTCACATTTCCACGTGCACCTTATGGGGAAAGGAAGCAGCAATCACTGATGTCAACCATCAGGAAATGGAAGATGCCTACTAACTGCTACAATCTGAAAGAGCTCAAACATTTCACTTGGATAAGTTAACAATTATTGGTGATTGAAATGCAAAATTGAAAACCACCAAGAAGACTTAGAATTTGGAAACTCCGGCTCTGATGAAAACGACACTGGACACTGCATGATAGAATACTGCAGAGACCTGCTCCCTGTAAGGTCCACTCAAGTAGGTGAACAACTCTGTGAGCCACGAGAATGCACACAGACGTCACC